GTTTCCCCTCTCCCATGTGCCTGGACCCCCCCCCCATGTCTCCCGATCTTCCCTTGCTCTGCCATGTCCCAATCCCCCTTCAAAATCCCCTCTCCGATCTTCAAAAATCACTTCCCGGCGCCCATGATAACCCTCCCAATGCTCCCAACCAGCACCTCTTGGTTCCATGCCTCCGTAGCCTTGCCTTTCCCCATATCTTCCTCCTCTCTCCTCCCTCTGGAAAGGCTCCAGATGAGGCCTTCCCCTACTCCCTTCCACGATTTCCACCTCCTCTTCCTCCCGATGGATTTCAGAGTTGGTGTTCTTTGCCGCTGGCCCTTTTGCATCAGACGCCGCCGATTGGGTTTGAAACTCCAACATCTTCTTCATCATCTCACGTAGATCGGCCACTTGCCCCTCCATGGAAGACATTCATTCCTCCACGGTCTCCTTGATTTGATTTATTTCTCCTTCAATTCTCTCCTCCAAAGCATCCACCTTCTTGTCCGTCATCCAAAAAGGAACCGAAATTTTAAGGCAAGATTCTAGATCTGAAAAAAAAAAATTTCAGCAAAATCCTCCTTGCCGTACAAATTTCAGCCACCGAAATCTGTAAAAATCAGCCACGATCGGTCCCAAGATGTGCTCTGATACCTATTTGATAGGAAATACTTGAGTTCAAGTATTTCCTAACCAATTTAAAGGCAAAGATCAAAGAGAAACTGCTGTCCAGAGCAGGAAAACAGTAAAAACAGTGGAAAAATGAGTAAAACTGAGAGAAATTTGGAGAGAAAGACTTGTAATTTACTAATAGATGCAAGGAAAATAGAAAAGATACAAGGATCCTCAATTCCAGAGGAGGATCGCACTCTCCCAATCTCTAGAATTCGATCTAGAGCCCTAGCCACCAAAGAATAACAAGAAAACTCAAAGCAAATCTCACATAACCCTAATCCTCTCTTTACTCCCTACTTAATGCATACAATTCAAATCTAATACAAAAGGACCTAATTACCCTTTGCTTCCCCTCCTTTTGGCTCCAAGATTCAATTTGAATTTCAAGTGGACCCCACCTAAATCTCCCCCCCCGGGCTTCCGCCGGCTCCTCCTGCTGTATACGAACTGAGCCGGCCCAAGGGGCTGGACCGGTCCAAGGAGGACCGGTCTAACACAGAACTTCATTCATTAAACTTCAGAGTCAAGCTTTGGCGTCGAGAGGGATAAGTCGGAAGACAAGCACCTGAGGGTCAAGCTTTCAAAACCACCAACCAGATTCATAAATCTAGCCATGTCGACCTTAACCCTAGACTAGCATGTGAGAAACGAAAAGGTCGAGCAAGAAGATTTGCAAGATAAGTGATGGAGAGAGAAATAAAAAATGGAAAAGTGAGTTTTTTACAAGTGTGTCCTTTTTTTTTTTTAAACAGACATGTGACAGATGCATCCAACATGTGTCAAACGTGTGTTGAACATGTGAACGCATCTAAAATATATCAGACACCGCATTTATGTCCCAGAAATTAAGACTCTCTCTTCAAGAAGTTAGCACCAATAGTGTGGTGGGACCCATCCCAATTACACATTGTACAAGAATGTTGTCAACCAGCTACTTAACAGTTGAGCAATATTTATATATTTCTTTCACAATTCATCGCTAGTTCTAAAAATATATATAATGGAATGGCTTTATGTCCATCTGACAAAACTCTATAGATTAAAATATAACATAAGGTGTTAAATAACCATCACAATAATGATTACCTTATCCCAACTATTTCTAGTAAACTTCATGAATTTTCCTGTAATAACTCCTATCGGGTGCTAGTGTACTCCGTAGATTGGATTTTTTGTCTTGTTGACATGAATATTCATTCTTACATTACTATTCATAAAACACCCAAAATACTCTAGTCAATGTTTTGCTATAATATCTTCAATAGGTGATACTTTCATGTCTAGTAAATTTATTTCCTAATCAAACTTGCAATTTTTAACACGATAATTTTAACATTCTCATTTGGACATATTTAACTTATCTTACAAACAATTCTTTTGGCAATGAAGAGGCTCCAGACATTCTAAGTCTTCAACAATGAAGGCTACCACATTTGCACGAAAAGAACAAATATATTGGAGCAACAATATAGTTTCACCATCTTTTCTCTCTCTTAAAATCTTATATGTAAAGGGCGGACAAATTAAAAACCCATTAAATGAGCTTATTCCAAAGAGGGAAAGAGTAAGTTGTTTAAATTGCAATGATATAAAGATAAGGAAGTGGGAGTCCTTAAATTAACCCCCTAAATTAAGGAGGTTGGACCTATGGACAAGTATTAGTTAGGAATTTGTTTCTTAATTGAAAATATAACATCTCTCTAGGCAATCCTATCTTGGAACTTGTTTAGAAGTTCATATTTAAATATCGTCATGCTTTTCCTATAAAAAAATGAATGAAATTTAAATTCATTACCCGCCAAAATACTTACTAGACATTTGCAAGAGGATGTACCCTTGTGTATGTTTTTCATGCTTTTTCCTAAAAAAAATGAACGAAATTTAAATTCATTACCCACCAAAATACTTACTAGACATTTGCAAGAGGATGTACCTAAGTGTATGTTTTTTACTGATGATATTCTTCTTGTTGATAGGTAAACTTGAATTATGGAGGTCAACCTTAAAGTCTAATGATTTCATTTGAGTAGATCTAAAAATGAATACATATAGTGTAATTTAGTAGTAAGATCTAGTGGAGGGTTTGGACTTTAAGCGATCAAGTCATTAATAAGAGTACACGTTTTATATACCTTGGGTCTATTGTTCAGAGTGATGGTGAAATCGATGGGGATATTATTAGTAGAATTCAAGTTGGTTGGTTGAAGTGGAGGAATGCATCGGGCTTGTTGTGTGATAGAAAAGTATCACTCAAACTTAAGGGAAAATTTTATAAGATGGAGGTGAGACCTGCAATGCTTTATGGCGCAGAATGTTGGCTATTAAAAGAGAAGCATAATATTAAGTTAAGTGTTGTAGAGACGAGGATGCTTAGGTGGATGAGTCGCTTTACTCTTTGAGACAGGGTATGAAACGAGCATATACATGAAAAGGTTGGAGTAGCTCCAGTGGCAAATAAGATTAGAGAGAGTCGCCTTAGATGGTTTGGTCATATAAAACGACGACCTTCCGATGACCCAGTTAGGAGAGTAGATGTATTAGATTTGACTTATGAAAGGTAGAGGTATGCCTAAAAAGACTTGGTTAGAAAATATTAGAAATGGCATTTCTTTATTAGATTTAAATGGGAATTTGACTTTAACAAGACAAAATGGAGAAAAAAGATTCAAGTGGCCGACCCCACATAGTGGGATAAAGGTTTGATGTTGTTGCACCCTCCAAAATACTACTTATCTTCTCACTAGGCAATCCTCTCTCCAATCCACTAGGAATTCCTCTCTCTCTCCACTCCAAGTGACCAGCCGCCTTTCTATCTATCTAACCTAACTCTCTCTAACTAAGGATTGAAGGAAGAAGGGGGATAAATCCTAATTGCTAAGGAACCACAAAAGGAGAAGAAGAAGGCGTTAAGGCAAGAATAAGGGGACCAAAAAATAACGAGATGAAATAAAGGTATGGCAAGACTAGGGCTATTAAATTATAGTTTGTTACTTTCAAACCAAGGTTTAAAATTGCGTAATTGGGTATTGAGGCGTTTTTCAATCGTGAGGCGAGGCGTAAGTCTTAAGGCGTAAGCTTCAAAATTCAAAAATTACATAAATTGAAAATAAAGGTTAAAAATGATATTTTATATAATACTCAAATAATATGTTAAATAATGACATATTAATTTTCTGTTGAACTATGAAGTGACAAATTGGCATACATATGAAATTAAAAATTGCATAATAAGTAAAATGACAAGTAATAAATTGCGTGAAATAGAATTAAAATGTAATATTACAATAGCAAAATAACATGAAATATAGGAATTACGTTGAAGTATCTTATAACATCAAGTTCAACTCCAAAATTCTTCTTTCTTAGTTCTCTATTTATCCACATTTAATTCTTAAAAACAACTAACATAATTAGCAACAACTTAGAAATCATCTACACTGTTATCATTGGGGTTTTTATTTGAGTTGTCGTCAGAACAAATTAATCTCTTTCTTACATCATCATATGAAGTTCAATGCCTATCAATCTGTTTCTTCTTCATTTATTTCAATCATCTTTCTCTTTTATAAATATTTTTCATTAACATAAAGATGAGAATAATACTCCAAAATTTTTAGAAGTCGTGGTGGTGTGCAGTTCAAGTGATTCCTGATGGTGGCTACGGCAAAAGCGGTGAGCAAGAGGTCGAGGCGATTGAGAGGAAGTTGTTGCGGCTTGGGGGTGCATGAAGGCAGATTTGTTCGGGGCCTTAGTTTAGGATTTAGGTAAGTTTTAATAAATATATATATAAATTGGGTGAGGCGTACGCCTCACGCCTCACGCCAGTGAGGCGAGGCCCACCTCAAGGCGAACCTCAGCCATGCTGAGATGCAAACCTCATTAAAAAAGCTCGAGACGTAAGCCTCGAAGCATTTTTCAATGGAATTGCGCTGAGGCAGGCCTCAAGGCAAGCCTCATATTGCGCAATTTTAAACAATGTTTCAAACTTATCTCTTGGCACCCCTCTCTCTCTCTCTTGCATGCATTGTACTTCCTTAAAGTCCAGACCATATACCGCTTAGGATAGTTATCAATGAATTACTTAAACCCTATATGATATTCTAAGAAACAGTGTCATCAAAATATCCTGAATATTAAAATATTCAAGCAACCCTTCCATCAAGGATTGAGAAGATATGTTACAGATATCAAGAACTAAGCTCAGGATCATGTTAATAAATGTAACAATGAAGTTCATGCTTTTGATAATATACAATTGACTGATTAAAAGTACAAGAGTTTCTTCAAAAGATGACATATGAAACCAATATTGTCTGGAGAAATTCAAAGTATGAATTCGAACTTACAGGAATTGGAACCAAGAGATTCAACCTTTTTCCTAATTCACCATCTATAGTTGAATAATCCTCTGCCAGCTCTAATAACCACTCGTCTCCATCAAGTGATATTTCTCCTGGACTACAACAAGAACTAGATGGGTCTGTATCATCCGAGTCCTCCTCACCATCTTCATAAGCTTGTTAAAATAAAAAGAAAAAAATTGGTTCGACAGGTAAAGCACCACGAAATCAGCATAGCAAAAAAGATAAATCATTTACATATTTCATATTCTTCATTGTACCTGAAGTAAACGTGCTCGTGGTTGGACCAAACCAGTTTTCTGCAAGAACAGATGCTTGCAAATGCTCACCTACATTTGTGGGGCAAGTTGCTTCAGCAACAGCAAGCCGTGAAAATTCTTCCTGAAGAGCATGCGCCATAATCTCATCACTCCCTAGAGAAGGGTGATCTGTAACAAAATTATCTTCTCTAACGTAGGCTCCATCATAAAAGTTGGTATCACTATCAGTAGTGACACCACAATAGCTCGAAGTTGAAAATGGGTCACCGTTAAGAAGATCAAAGCCCCATCTGAGGACATCAGGATCATGCTCATACATAACCATCAGCTTACAATTCTAAACTCCTTTATTATATATTGCAGCCGTCAGAATACTTACCTGAAATTATGTCCAAGAAGGAAAAACAACGCCAAATTAGCTCAAGAGGGTGCAAAAAATATTTTAGAAATGTAAACCCATTCTCTCAAGCATGTTCTGAATAAGCAAAAGTTTGTAAGGAGTTCACTAGAAAACAATATTAATTATAACAAATATTTCACAAATAAAAGATTCCTTGAAAGGAGCAAAAGAAGAAAATTATAATTAATTACAAACAATTTTGTGCCGGGTACCTAATCGCTGAGTAGATTCATGACTAAAGCAAAAAGATTTGAGCTTAAGGTTGATCCTTGATGTAAACCAACCGAAATAGGAAAATACTTGGTCAAACCACCTTGTGTTTGAACACAAGTAATAGCTCCTGCATACATATATTTAATGATTTGAATATAAGCGTTAATAACTCCTTTCTCTTCAAAAACTCTCCATATTTTTTCTCTTGGAGCTTTATCATATGCTTTCTCTAAATCAATAAATATCATATGTGAATCCTCCTTATTCTCTCTATATTTCTCCATCAATCCTTTCAATAAATGTATGGCTTCCATAGTAGACATACCCGACATGAATACAAATTGATTTTGAGAAACATTAGTATCACGCAGCAACCTACGCTCCATAACTCGCTCCAATAGTTTTAAAGTATGACACATTAACTTAATTCCTCTATAATTCGCACAATCTTGTGCATCAAATAGAATTTATTTTTCCCTTCAACCAACCATCTTATGGAATTCGCTGATTTTGCATGCTTTTGCAAAATATAGGAGCTTGTCGAGCAATGCTGCTTGTCAGCCATGATTTCTTGTCAGCCATGATTTCTTATCATTGAGTTCATACATATGAATTGTCAATCCTAGGCCCAAATGAAAAAAATTAAGGTTGTTGATGTTAGGTTTACAACCTAACTTAATTGTGGTGAGAAGTAAGGCATGGGGTTGCTAGAACATTTCATATAAATGACAACACAACTTGATTGTAGTGAAAAATGTATCAGGGTTTGCTAGGTCGTCAACCATAAGTGACGTGTCATAATTTAACCAACTTATGGTGGAAAGCAAACAAGGGTCAATAAAGTTTAAAATTATATTATATTTACCATATGGAATTTGAGGACTTTAAACAAGAAGATAAGAAAATTATTAACACAAGAATTAGGCAACTAAATATATTGTTTGTAAGGAATTAAATGAAAAGATAAAATTTCCAAACAAATTGATGAATGCCAATTATAATTTACTATATGCAGGAAATATTAACAATAGAAACATGAATGGATACTAATTGATAAAAAATTTGAAAGAAATTGTTAAAGTGAATTAAGACTAATGATAGAGATAAGAGATAAGACTGATTAAATTAATTATTGATGTGAATGATCAAAAGAAATTACTTATATATAATGTGATTCTTAAATTAAATTATAAGCAGTTTGAAAAATCAATTTTAAGAAGCGATGGACAAAGTATTTACAATCTACACCAGATGAAGAGAAAATAATTATTGGAGATGACTTTAATAGACATGTTCTAATAAAAATTATAATAGGAGTCAAAGACGGTATAAAATAGGACATAAGAATACGATAGGAGAAGCTATACTTTATTTGACAATAGCATATGTACTTGTAATAATGAAGGCATACTTGAAAGAAAAAAAAAAAGAGAGAATAACACTTAATTACTTTTAAAAGTGAAGCCACCAAATCACAAAAATTATTTCTTACTTCGAAAATTTCATTGCAAAATTGTACAAAAATATAGAAAAAAGTTTAAAAGGATAGCATAGAGCACTAATATGTTTATATTAGGAGCAAAAAATGATCAAAAGAAATAATAGCAATTGGATAAGATGATGAAACTAAAAAGTGAGAAATTATTAGTCTTTCAATATAAGCATCCATTAAAGAAAAATAGAAAGATTAATACTACTAAGATTTAAAATGATATAATAGCTAAACGTTTTGCAAAAGAATGTAAAAAAAGCAAAAATTATATGTTTTGAAGATTTACATAACATGTTAGATACGAAAGAAGAAGAAGCTAAAATACATAAATAACTAATGAGCACCTTTAAGTAACACAAGTTGTGTCAAACCAACAAGACCCATCCCCTATTCTTTCTCTCCCCCCATCCATTTCTTTCTCACTCTTGTACTCTTTTACTCTCCATTTCGCCCTCTTTCCTATATTCTTTATAAATCAAGAATAAAGATTTTAATTCCCATTTTTGATAAATTGACATCCTTTCTTGTCTTGTTTCTTGGCCCACTAAAGTCTCAAGTAATTCGTAGACCATGATCAATGAGTTGAATTTGGTTCAAACATCTTTGGTTCAATGAGTGTGGACTTTGTGGCCCTTAAGAGAAAAATAATTCTCATTTGGCCATAATTGTCACAAATCGAGAAGAAGGTCAAGCCTCAACCAAGGAATGTTATCTTGCAATAATAATGTTAATCGGCATATGACATACTAGAGAATATTTGATGGTGGAAAGAATATTTTAACAGGCTAGTACATAACAAGCTTATCAACCTAAAATACTCTCTCCCACTGTAGAGGTTGCTCGTGTCCCAAAATAAGTGCAAGGACGTCGTCTGATTCATCCTCCGCCAATGACTACTTCACTCAAGCCTACGATGTGATGAAGCATCAATTGGCATTCAAACCGCTCTACTTAAAAAATCTAAGGAGATCACAAGTTCCAATGTTTTATCCAAGGAACAACTAGGGGGAGGGGGTGGGGGTGTGGATTGTTAGTTTCCTCTCTATAAATCATAGATGAATAACTTCATGACAAGTTCAAGATGCTTTTCCTTCCACATGTAAAATGTGATATAGGATGTGTTAACCACGCTAAAGGATGTTGCCTTGCAATGGTTCAATCAAATGCAAGAAGGTAGCCTTCATTCCCATGACGAGTTTTTTTATCAACTCATCTCCTAGTTTGCGATCATGTGACATCCAAAAGAGCTCCTAAAACTTTGTCGCACTTGATGTTGGCCTTTAATTTACATTTCATAATGTGGCATTAGAGCGAGCCTAAGTTCAAGCTAATTAACACGATTTGTAGTCCCAATGTGTGCCTTAAGGGCGGTGGTTGTGGGATAACAACCCACTAAACAAGCTAAAAGACTCTTTGCTTCATCAAAAGATCACAAAAAGGGCTCCATAGAAGGGGTTTGTTTATTGAACTATGTGGCTATACGTGGCAACATGTGTCCTTTATTTATTTATTTATTTCCTTAGCAACATGTGTCCTATGTGCTCCTGATTAGTGATATTTTCTATTGTTATCTATAGTCCCACATTTCTAACACTGAAATAATCATACCCTCTGAAAACTACATGATGAAGTAGAGGTGAAGGTAAAAAGATGATTAAGATTAAGACTGAGATATCCCACAAGCAATGGAAGTGTTGTCGAAATTACGTGTTGTAGGCCTTCCAGTAGGATCTCCACTTAAATTGAGGGTATGCATCTTATTTTTGCTCATCCTCACACTGTTAATGTCGATTGCTAGCTCATGAGTATGCATTTTGCCCTTTTAAGTGATAGAAAAGTCTCTTTCAAACTTAAGGAAAAATTCTATAAGATGGTAGTGAGACCTGCAATGCTTTATGGGACAGAATGTTGGCAATTAAAAGAGAAGCATAATATTAAGTTAAGTGTTACAGAGATGAGGATGCTTAGGTGGATGAGTGGATTTACTCTTAAAGATAAGATACAAAATGAGCATATACATGAAAAGGTTGGAGTAGCTCCAGTGGAAGATAAGATTAGAGAGAGTCGCCTTAGATGGTTTGGTCACATAAAACGGCGGTCTTCTGATGACCCGGTTAGGAAAGTAAATGTATTAAATTTGACTTATATTAAGAAAGGTAGAGGTAGACCTAAAAAGACTTGGTTAGAAAATATTAGAAATGATCTTTCTTTATTAGATTTAGATGACAATTTGACCCTTAACATGACACAATGGAGAAAAAAGTTTCATGTAGCCGACCCAGGTCGGGCCACATTGTGGGATAAAGGCTTGTTGTTGTTGTTGTTTTGTTTCCTAGATTAAGGCATGTATTGAGGAGATCTATTTCTTTGTTTGCGTTAAAGAGGGCTTCATGTCTTCTTCAACTCAACTTCTGCTCTTAGGCAATGTTGTCCTCTTTCCCCTTGCTTGTTTTGCCATGAATGTTTTATCTAATATTTTGGTTTCTACTATTCAATGTCACTCATTTACAGGGATTTCTATTATTGATATACATTTTAATCATCTCTTATATGTTGATAATTTACTTGTGTTTAGCGAGGCAAACATCCAAAATGCCACTTCCCTTAAGGAAATTTTGAGGAATTTTGCATCATTTTCTGAGCTCCAGGTGAATAATGCTAAAAGTTTCATCATTTAAGATCCAAATTGCAATGTTGCCTCCAACATTGTTGAAATCCTCAACATCTCGTTAGTGGGTAGCTTCCGAACCTATATAGGCATCCGTGTTGGCTATAAAAGAAATCCTACAGCTCTGTTTCCACCCCTTATGCAAAAAATCTACACTCTTTTGGATGATTGGAAAGCCAAACTATTCTCTTTTGCTGATAAGATCCAATATTTAAAATTAATAATTTGGAAGCCCATAGCTTACTGAATCCATGGCTCTATTTTACCTAAATCATGTTGCAAAGTGTATGCCTAATTTCTTTTCCATGAAGACATAAATTCTAAGAAGTAGCATCTTGTCTCATGGAAAAAGACTTGTTTGCCTAAAAATTTGGATGGCATGGGTTTACCTTTGATTCAATCTTTATATCATGCTTATACATGCTCCCTTATTTTTAGATTATATAACAATGATAGCATGCTTGCTACTTGGTATAAAGCCAAATATTGGCCCCCTTGGAAAACTTTACATAGGAATTACACCAAATACTCGGCTCATACTATGAAAATTGTTATTAAAACTAAGAATTGTTATACTTTTCACATTTCTACCAACAACCGCCTTTCACTTTACTGGGATCCTTGCTGTAATGGTGCCTCCTTAGGTGACTTAGTTGATATCTTGACTATTGCTCACATTTTTCCTCCTTAAGCCCGTTTGAAAGTTCTCATGAGATCAAATTCCTGGAATCTTCCTCCTAAATTCCCTCCTCATGTCCAGGTTGCTAAAAAAGCCCTATCTATTAAGGATAATTCTTCTACCTGCTTGACTTGGCAAGGTTCCATGCATCCCAAATTCAAGGAATTTATTCATAATTATCATCAAGATTTACCAACTGTTATTTGGAACAATTACATTTGACACAAGCACTATGCATTGAGATTTTCATCCTTTACATGGTTAGTTGTGGTTGGGGGTTTCAAAATAACTGATAAGCTTATTTTAAGTAATACTAATGCGCCTAACTATTGCAATTCATGCACCAGCATGCCTGAAAATGACTCATCTTTTCTTTGAGTATGACCTTTCTTTCTGCTTAATATCTGAGCCAATACCTGGCATGAGCTCGTTGCTCCTAAGGCCAAACTTGATGCAGCTTTTTTAGTTCATTTCTAGTTTAGATAACATCTAGGCTATGCATAAAAACTTCTATTTTTTGCTTATTTATTGCATTATTTATCATCTGTGAAGAGAATGAAATGCAAAGAGATGGTGAAGTCATTGAGAGCTTATCAACTGTTTGTTTTAAAATAAAAAAAGCTGTGAGGTTCAAAATCTGTGGTTGGAAAAGAAAGGAGGAAGTCATTGGCTTATTACCCTAATTTAGGTTTGGGTTCTTCTACATTTTACTGCTTGGGTGTCTTTGCAGTTAATGACACTTCTGGTCTTTTGGTGGATGGGTTACTAGGGGCTCTGCTCTTCTTATCAGTTTATGATTTTTTTTTATGTCAATGGAGTTGGTTTTTCATGCTATGGTGGATATCTGGTGGCTCCTCTTGGCAATAACGGACAAAGATGAATGGTGTACATCTTCTCTGTCCCCTTAGATGGTTGTCTCAGAAACCTCCTGGATGGCCGTACTGGCACGCAAACAAGGGAGTTTTGATCTATTCAAATGTAGTATTTCCTGTTCTGAGTCTCTTTTTGGGATTTTGTGGCTTTGTTTGCTTCTTATATGTGATTAGCTTAGCTTAGTTTTTGTCTCCTTTATAGGTCATCTGTGAGCTTTGTTGCTCCTTTTCTTTGGCTGCAATTTTCAATTGGCTTTTCTTTTTTACACTTGTGTAGTAACAGGCTTACTCGCTTGTATTTAATTTATAGTTGATGAAATTGAGCGTTGCCCCTAGTTTTCCCAAAAATAAAGTATGTCCACAAAGAAACTAAATTTTGGAAAGAAAGAAAACACTAGTAGAGCCCTCTAGAAGATAGAGGATAAATGCTAGAAAATAAAATTGATTATAAGAGAGCTGAAAGCGTGCTCGCTAACATGAATGAATAACAAGTAACTCATAAGATGAGAATATGATTAAACTAGCGGATAAAATTAAGCTGAATAAATATTTTAACAGAAAGAAACTATGACAAGGTCTATGGAGGGGTTGGATCACTATTATTCTTCAAAATCAGAATAAATATTGATCATTCCTCTCAATTTCAACCAAAATAATTTCACCTTACAAATATTTCTTACCTAACATCTCAACATAATGCAAACTGACCATGCTGTTAATTAAAGATTATATAGCTATAATAGCCAGGTGGTCAGTTAGGAGATCCATGGATTGGTAAATGAATTTTACTAAGATCTCGAGTCCTTGGATCTAATCTACTTAAAAAATTTAATTGAAGCCATATGGTCGTTCAGTTAACAGATTTTATAATTTAAAATGAAACGAAATTTCAGCTTCAAACATCGACAGAAACCACAGTTAATAATACATCTCATGGCAATCAAGTTAGTGATTGTCATGAGATGTATGATCAGGAGTCATGAATTAACGAACGTGAATTTATGAAAACCACAACAAGCTATGAATGGACATTCAAGTAGTTTAGAAAATAAATGACTATATTACATCACGCTTCCGAGAGATCAGCATGCCTATTTTGCTGCTACCTCCATGCTTTCTAATTATAATTCAAATTGGAGATCCGATGCATAAATAAAATTATAAAAAAAACAGACATACACACAGACTACTGAACTTTTTTTTTTTTGGATAATAACTTGGAAAAAAAAAAAGATGATCAAAATGAAAATTATAACTCAAATTCACCAAAACGGACACTGATGACTCCTGACCAAAAAACCACCCCTCTCAGTTTATCCACATCCAAGCCACCCGTTTCACCACCTTTATCTAATGAAGAACGCTATAAATATTTACACATTGAAAAAAAGGTATGCATCAATTGCTATAAGTTCAGAGCAACCAAATAGATAAACCAAGCAAATCAGCAAGAAAGGAAAATCCTATCAAATCGTAAGAAGCCACGGCTCCGATTACGGAACAGCGAAATCAAGCTACAGTCAACGAAATCAATACTGACACGCTTCCTACAACCACGCAAAGATCGAGGGAAAATTGAGCAACTCCATAAACTATCTTTCATTTCTGATCACCCAATCAATTCTAAAGTCATCGCAGACACCTCCTCATCAAAAACAAAGCACAGAGCCAAGATCCACCACTCCGATCCCTAAAAACACGCATAAATCCTGCAATCATCGCTGATCGACACGAACACTTACTTGCGAGTGGAACAATCCGATTCCGAAAGTAATTATATGGAAGCGAACACTGCGATGACGCGAGCTCATCCTTGGCGAAACGAAGCTTGGAGAATAAGAATGGCCGATAAAGACCAATTGGGGTATATAGAGAGGAGGAGAGCGGCTTCGAGACGCCACAGAGAGAAAATGTAAGACGCGAGAAGGACGAGAGACACAAAGCCGGGAGAAAACGGAAACGCGAGGACGTCACGGATCAAATCATCAAATAAGAATAATTTAACGGCGTCGGCGCCGGACGGCGATTTACCCATTTCGACTGATTTTTTTTTAATAATATTTTTTTTTGTTTTACATATAAATTTATATATTTATTTATATAAATTTTAAATAATATTAAAAAAACTTTAATACTAATTTATCTAAAATTTAGTATATTTTTACTTCTTTTCAACATGTTTGAAATAAATTATTTTTAAGTTATTCATAATATACAAATTTTTTTTTACATTATGTTTAGCTTGTGAAACAAAAATTTATAATATAAAAATTTTAACATTTAGTGTTTGCATTCTAATATTTTTTTTTATTTTATCTTTTCTGTAATTTTTTTAGGTAAATCCATAAATTTTATATAAAGAGTTGATTGTTAGCAGATTGTTTACAATAAGCCTTGCATCCAATCTTTATGTTAATGTGTTTGTTGTCCTACCGTCGACCACCGCCGGCCACTGTCGGCCGCCCCTCAGCCATTCTCAGCCACCACTATCAACCACCGCCCACCAACAACCACTTCTAGCCACCCTCGGCCCGGTACAAATCACAGTTGACCGCCACCAACTACCATCATTTTGAACTTTTCACTGTATTCAATTTACTTCAAATTGAATAAAAAAATTAAAACTCTATATTTATTTTACACTTATTCAAATAACTCCAAATTATTTCAAATATATTACATTCTTTTTAATTGACATTTATTTTTCGGTCAACTAAAAAACCCATGAGTCTCGTCCCTAGTCCTATTAGTGCCCTCAATTCTAATATTCTATGACTTTATTTATTGAAATCTCACCATCTTTGACTTTTGAATAAAGTTTTAGGGTTCTTCTATGTTTTATTTTTTATTTTCAATTTTAAGTAAAGGTCTAACCTCCCATTTCATGGTAATATTAAGTTTTTTTTTTTGCTTGGATTTCAGAAGTTTTATCAAAACATTCTCATAACATTATGTCATATTATTTATATTGATTCAATGATCATAAAGTATTCTTTTGGCATCTAATGCCTTAATGACTTCAAAATTAAAAGATTTTAGGCTTGTTGGATTAGTCTGGTTGAGGTACTCATTTTGATTATAAACATGTGAAATTCCAAGACTATCATTTAATCCATCAATTAATATTACAATTTTTTAACAATGCCTCAAATGTTTGATTTGAGCTCATTTAGACTTGAATTGAATCACTTTTTATGTATGTACTTGTTATGTCGCAAATTATTATCTTGATCGGGTACGAATATTGAGGCAAAGTTCAATTGGAAACTTTCAAACTTAAATTTTGGATCTTATGAACTCCAATTACAACAAATTAATATTCAAGCTGAACATTTTGAAGAAACAAAGCCAACGATAACAAGATCGGTCCAATTTGAATCCAATTGAGCTCAAATCAACGGTCCAAAGCATAGTTAGAAACTTAAAAGCATAAATTAGATGGTAAAATGTTCTTTAAATATGGCATGCTTATATTCAAATCAAGCGGCTCGACGAAAGTCATCCAACGAGCTCAAGATCACTTGATTCTGATATTGTTTAGGTGTCTAAATGCTAAAAATGATATATGATTGTGTGAATCGATGCAGGTCGTCCGATAGAATATTCTCACAAAAAATTATAAATAGGCGCCTCTCACTCCCTATATAAGGGGAACCTTTGGTCAAAGATTAGAGAGAGCTTTAAGGTTTCAAATTTTCTAGAGCTCCACCTCAGTCGTACCATCGAACCTCTGCCCCTGCCACTAACCACTGTCAGACCTCCACCCCATCAACCATCGCTGGTTTTTCGTCTTGACCACCAATCCGGGCCGGTCCTCCCTGAAATAGTTAGTATTTTTACCCAAATCACAAACCATCTTCGTCATAACATACATATTATAGTGTTTTAATTACAACTTTTTTTTTTCATAATTTTTTTGGCATTGGTGCAAATCCTTAATAAATTGATATTTGTCGATACAAGTAAGGTTTTGAGACCGTAAGGTGTCCGTTTTGAAAATCGTTTTCATCAAAACTCTTTTAAAAAAATGAGTTATTTTATGTATATTTTTTATAATTTTTTAATCTTCAAGAGAATGTACGTGAATTTTATACTAAAAACTAATTAAATTATATAATTATTTTATTATTTTATTATTATTTTATTATTTTATTATTATTTTATTATACATATCTAAAATCACTTAACAAAATTTATTTAAATCCTTTTTAAGCACATCATTTGGTTAATAGAGTATGGAATTAGAGAATTAGAGAGAAAGAAAATAAAGGAGAGAGAACATATAACTTAGGATTTAGAAGTCGTAGTGCAATTATTGTCAGTCAACCATTGGAAGATTTGCTTGTTCTATTATAGGAAATCATTATCATATTTCTAATTTCAATAATTTGATTTTTTTATCAAATTTGTGTTTTATTTGTAAGAAAATGAGGATAATTTTATATTCGTAAAACTTTCACCTTGTAACTTGTTATAAGTTATAGAGATTGAGATTATAAACTTTTTGAGTATTTATTTGAGATTTTTTTTGGGTGGTTTTGAAAAATCCGTAATTTTTACCATGCTTCGATTTCAGTTGTTCGTTTTAATCGATAATTTTATTTTTTATGGTACTTATATTGGTAAAAGAAATTAGATAGCTCTAATTATGTAAGTTGAAAAATGTAATAAGGTTTTTTTAAAAAAGAAATTAGATAGCTTTGTCTCTCACTCACTTATCTTTCATTTGTCCCACTCATAGAATCTGATTAGACATTCCAGATCCTGCAAATTTCTTGCCATATACCTGTCTAGACTGATCTTTCTTGGACCCAGGTCTTTTCCCAAATCCTCTCTATGGACAAACTATCATCATGTGTTTGTACTGAGCACATCTAATGCATCGTCTTGTGATCATATAACAATGTCCTGCATTTCTCCTCCCACATATGGGACACTTTTGTACACTAATAGTTGGTACCATGAGTACTCATCTCCTAACATCAGAAAACATGCCTCTCTTCTTACCAATTTCTCCTCTAATCACTTGCTCATCTGCTCTCTTCTTGTTCATGTCCTCTTTGGACTGGAGAATAGCTAAATCATTATCCACGAGTTATTTCAAAAAGAAAAAAATTTGAATTATCAGTGGCACTAACGGATGCTTCAGCACATCCTTCAATCCTCTCAGAAATCTATAACATTTTTCCCCAACAATATTAACTAGTTGGGGTGCATATATGACCATGAAGTACAGTAAACCCAACTTTATACTACATTATTATGTTTCCATGCTTTAATCTAATGATCACTTCCTACATCTATTTTCGAGCTAATAGAGGTACAAACTAGTCTAAGAAGATAGCAACAAACGGTAAGAATTGAATTGTAAGAATTCTAACACTACACTTTTTTTGCCAATCTCAAGCATTTCCTACAACTCTTGTTACAATTCAATTCTTGCAATCACTTTTGCTGTGATACCAACTGTTACACCCCAAACCCTAGGATCTCTCTTGATTCTCCTCTTTTTCTCTCTCTCTTTTACCTTATTCTTCTTTCTGAGAAATGAAATGAGAAAGGTAAACATGGCTTTAGATAAAATCTGTAAGTTGATTAGGATTTTGTAATAAAAAAGATCTTAAGGGCATAAAGGTAATTAAGCAAATTATTTAGAATTTAGCATAAAAATTCATATAAATCATTTATATCTTCAAAATTGGGGATAGAAAAATTATATAAAAAAAAGCATAAAATAGCACAATTTGTTTAAAAAGTTATGGTGAAATCGATTTATAAAACCGACACCTAACGGTCCCAGAAATTCATTTGTATCGACATGTGTCAATTTTTTAAGGAATTAGAAATAAATAAAAAACTTATTATTTTCATAAAAACACTTCCTATAAAATTAGGAAAAACTTATTATAATTAGAAAATAATAATATTTTGGTTATGATGAAGACGATTTGTAAATTATACTTATAATGACTTATAAAATATTATTTGACTTTTGTAAGTCAAAATATGATTTATGCACTCTACCCCACCGCCAATGTCGTCGAACCTCTACCCAACTGTCGATCCTAGCAATGCATTCGCCTCGTCGCAAATCACCACTAGACCTCCACCCAGCCGTCGATCATTGTCGAACCTTCACCTGGTCTCCGTTGTTGCCAAACCTTCACCCGGTCGTTGCCACACGACTTGTGATCTTCCTCACATATCGACCTCGATCTTCAGACTTCTACCGCCACACTACGATCTTTCTAACCCTCGTCGCCCGAATACAATAATTCAAACTCCCAGACATCCATAAGAACTTCATTTGATTCTCCATATTACTATAATTTCTCTGTCTTCAAGTTAAGGGATAAGTCAACCTTTGTAACCTACTTAAATATAGTTTATTCTCTTCACCTCGGCAAGGCTCGTGGTTTTTTTCCTTTGGAATTTTTAATGTAAACAATAATTTCATATGTTTCGTAACTCTCAAACTATCTGTTTGTGTGTTAGATAATAGTTCATCACTAAGACGAAAAACTTTCTCAACTTACTGCTTCAAATTTACCAGCCCTCAATAATACTCACCTTATCATGACATTTATTTTGTCTATAAATTTGATGAAATCAAAATTGAGATGATCATGAACTTAATTTTGGAAATTCTAAATTCAAATTGATATTTTTATTTATATATTTTTTATGACGACTTTTTAATAATAATTCCAAAATTTTGTAATCAAACACGCGTGTACGGACAAGATCTTTAGACCGGACCACTGGAGATCTCTGACGCGTCTTTCTGTTTTTTTATATCACGAGGGAATCTCGGCCCTCAGGATGCATCCGACGGTTGTCAACCGCGGGCCCCATGCCTGGTCCTTTAGAACGGTACGATGGGCCCCAGCCGCCCAGGGGCTTACCAGATGTTCTATGATCCATTCTAGACCATTCGATCTCAATCCAACGGACATCAATGCA